GGGGGAGGGGGGGGGGGGGGGGGGGGGGGGGGGAATATATATATATCCAAACCTAATCAATCCACTTACCCTTTTTTTTGTTTTGGTAAAATCGATCGCTGAAAGAAGAAGAAAGTTTTATTTCTCTACTCCGTGGCAGTAGTAGCAGAGATTTCTCTTATCACTGTAGGCTTGGAATACATGAAACTAATAGTAGCGGAAATGAGGAAGCTATGATGAAAATGTAGTCATACTAAAATAAATAAATAAGAAATTAGAGGAATGAGTAGTTTCTAAAGATATATTTGCTTTAGATCTATGGGTAGATCTAATAATAAATGAAACATATTGGAGAAAAGGATTTTATGGAGCCGACCCCAAATTCATTTGGATTAAGGTCGAGTTTGTTGTTTTTGGAGTCATTTTCACAAGGGATTCCACCAATCTGTTTCCTTCATGAGTCATAAGTTTTAACTCATTGTATATCGTTTCAAATTTTCAGTCATCATACACTGTGCCCAAGTATAAATCTGAATTGGCATTTCTGGCTCTATATCTCTACCATATAATAATGCTTTCTCCAGAGCTTGCACTCGAGTTGCAACACAATAGGATGAGCAAATTCACTATTTCGTATAAAATCACTTATTGAACCATCTTGTCTATAGTTTATGCCGTTAGAGATGTGACTCATCTATTTATTTTCATCACAATTTTTTATAAATGGGTGGCGGAGATACTTGAACGTGTGACCTTAGGTTACTTCAATACCACGTTAAACTATTAGAAAAATGACTCATTTAAATTTAGTCTTCAATGGCACGCCCACCCCCTGAGGGTAGTGCCATACAAAGGGCATTATGTTCTGATTCACAAACTTTCATGAATTCTGCTTGAAACACTTGATATAATTGTTGCCTAATTCACCGTGAGATCACATTCGGTTCCTTCACGCATTTACATGTTTTGATGTCGCTATTTTGTTCATGGTGTCCAGATCCTTAAATTGTAATCATCAGTAGCAGTAACTTGTCCTCATCGTATTTCTCAACTTTTTCGACTTTCTTGCATATATGACAGGGACCTTCGCACTTTACACTCTCGTGTCCATTTTCACTGTAATATTTGTGGCAATTTGGGTGCCAGAGACAAAGGGCAAAACCTTAGAGGAAATCCAATTCTCCTTCAGATGAGACTTCTCCATTCTACTTTATATTTTGTTGATGTTATTGTTATGAGATTCAGAGGCTACTATTGCATTTGTCTCGAGCATATCATTGTTCGTGTTCATTTGAGTTCCTTAGGCTTCAATTCGCGATGCTCAAAATATATTTATTCATTTTCGAATGGGCTTGCTATGCTTTTGAAATTTATAATTGCAAATGTTTTCTGGATTTTATGTATGGAGATTTTAATAATCGAATTTTATATATATATTACTTTGAGTGTATTTTAGTATGTTGTGATGGAAATATTGGATTGATCATAAATGATCCAGAAATATAGAAAGAGATGAGATATACTTAGTGAACCTCAAGCAGAAATCTCAATTACAGTAGCGCTAACACGATACTTTTAGAATACGACACTTGTTGTAATTAATATACAATAGTCGCAAGGATAAAATTAAGGGAATGCAATTGTAATGCTATTAGAG